CCGCCCGCCTGCTCCCTGCCGCAGGGCAGCAGCAAGCAGAAGGTGCTGGTGATGGAGTACTGCTCGAGCGGCAGCTTGCTGAACGTGCTGGAAGACCCAGCGAACGCCTTTGGCTTGGCCGAGTCCGAGTTCCTCATCGTGCTGCAGTGCGTGGGTGAGTGCGGGGGTCCCTGCGCCCCCAGCCCGGGACGGGCAGCTGCGGGCTGGGGACCTCGGGGTGCTGGTGGGACCCTGCAGGACATCAGCCCTGGGCTACGGACGTGAGGGCTGAGCTTCAGAAATTGGACCTCCCAACAGGGTGGGTTTGTGAGCTCTGCGTTCAGGGGAAGCCTGGGGGTTTCTCCATGAGGCTCCGGGAAGGCGCTGTGGGATCAGGCTGTGCCCCATGGTGGGGCAGGACGAGGGCAGGGCCCTACCGTGTGCTCGCTCATCCTCTCTGTTCCCCCAGTCACGCTGGTCCCTATTTAAGTGCAACCAGCCCTGGGGCTTGACCCCTCTCCAGCCCTTCTCGTGTCCGAAGAAAACCGGCCGGAGCAGAGCTCCAGCCCCAGGCGCCAACGCTGCGTCCCCCCTTGTGCCCAGTGGCAGGGATGAACCACCTCCGCGAGAACGGCGTTGTCCACAGAGACATCAAACCCGGGAACATCATGCGGCTGATGGGGGAGGACGGGCAGAGCATCTACAAGCTGACGGATTTTGGAGCCGCCCGAGAGCTGGATGATGACGAAAAGTTTGTGTCTCTCTACGGGACGGAGGAATACCTCGTGAGTACAGCGCCTCGCCAGCCTGGTGGCCCATGGGGGTGCTGGGGGAAGCTGGTCCCCATCTCTCCATCCAACGGCTGGGCAACTTGTAGAGAGACGCAGTGACCTGGAGAGCCCAATCTCAAAGGGGCCACGTTTTTTGAAGCGAGGGGGCTCAGCACTTTTGCTGTAGAGTTACAGGGGACGTTTTGTTCGGAGGACCCAGCAGCAGAAGAGGCCAAAGCGAGCCGTGGGTTCTCCATCCCAGCGCCCAGGGCTTGATGCCGGCTGCAGACCCGCTGGCAGCGCTGCTCTCTGCTTCATCCCTGCAGCACCCGGACATGTACGAGCGCGCGGTCCTGCGCAAGCCGCAGCAGAAGGCGTACGGCGTCACCGTCGACCTCTGGAGCATCGGTGTCACCTTCTACCACGCCGCCACCGGCAGCCTCCCCTTCGTCCCCTTCGGGGGACCTCGCAGGAACAAGGAGACCATGTAGGTACCGCATCCAGCTGGGAGGGCTGGGTGCTGCTGCGTGGGGAAGGTGGGACCGTGGCTGGTGGCCCTGGGGGCTGCAGGACAACCTGGCTTTGGCTTCGTGCGTGCCAGCAGCACCGTGCGACTGTGTGCTGTAGTTTACTGCTCGTTCCATCCCATATAGCCTAGAAAGCCCTGGAGTGCAGCCCATGGAGCGGGGGTGTGTGTGTGCGGTGTGGTAAAGGATCTGCGCCCCATTTTGTCTGAACTCAAAATGCATTTTCCTGACTTTGTGGCTAAACAGCTGGAGGAGGAGGCAGGGTTAATGTTTTCTTGAAAGCTCTTGACTCTTCCTTGAAGTATTTTCCCCTCTGTGTTTTTTTTTTCTTTCTGTGAATCGTGTTTTTCCCAGCCCATCCATGCTCTGCCCTTTCTTTTCTTTGCTGAACGCGAGGGGCGTAGTGCCCAAACGGGGGTCGCTTGGCTCGTTTCAGCTGCAAGCAATTTCCTTTCAACAGGTACAAAATTACCACCGAGAAGCCTCCCGGGGCCATCACAGGGGTCCAGAGGCAGGAGAACGGGAGCATCGAGTGGGGCTACGAGCTGCCCGTCACCTGCCGGCTCTCCGCGTGAGTGTCCCTTGCTCGGCTCCGCCGTGGGGCTCGTGTCCTGGCAGCACGGCTGGAGGGGGCGTCCCGCCTCGGGACAGCCCGGGAAGTTTTAACGAGGCAGATGAGCTTTTCATCTGCAGATGTCACAGCTCCCAGACCAGGTCTTTGCTTTACAGCTGGGAAAAGGGGGTGCAAGACAGGGCAGCGGCTCCGTCGGTACGGGAGCGCAGCCGCAGGAGAGCGGCTTCACCGCTCCCCGGCCCCACAGGTCGCTGCATTTCTGGCTCAGGGTTGGGCCAGCCTGTGCAAATATCTCTTCTGCTGCCGCTGCAGGGGGCTGAAGGACCAGCTGATACCCATTTTGGCTAACATCCTGGAGGCGGATCAGGAGAAATGCTGGGGATTTGACCAGTTTTTTGCAGAAACCAATGACATTTTGCACAGAATCGTGGTCGACGTCTTCTCCCTGCAGCAGGCTTCCTTGCATCGCATCTACATCCACTCCTACAACACGTAAGGATGCCAAGGCTTTCCTAAAAGGGAATTTGGGAACCGAGCTCAGGAGCCTCAGCCCCTGGTTTCAGTAGGTGAACCAGTAAAGCAAACCTGCCTTTGCTGGGGAGTGCACTAACTGGGAGCTGTTGGCTCCTGGCGTGGCACACGGAGAGCCCCAGGGAGGTTGTCCGAAGGGCTCTGCTGGCCTCGTGGGATATTTTGCTATGAGAAGAGGGCAGCAGGCTGTTAAAATGATCGAAATCTGAGTGCTCACCCCATAGCTTACTGACCATCCTTGCATTTATTCTTCATTTCAGTACCACCAAGTTTTTAGATGCTGTCTTCAAACAAACCAATATAGTCCCTCACCATCAAGAATATTTTTTTGAAGGCCATCTGTATGAGCTGGATCCTAATCTACAAGCTCATAATTTCTGCAAAACCACAGAGCACAACCCTCTGACCTTGCTGAGCACCGCTGAGCATCCAGAAGACGTGGTAGGAGTGAGATACAGAGACCGTGAGTACCATTGGCTTGGAGACGCGTCACGGCGTGCTGGGTGGGTGCCACAAGAGAGATTTCCTTAAATGATCACCCTAACAGACTCCAATGCACAGCAGGAGGTGGAGGGGTTACGATGCTGGAGCAGGATTAGGAGGTTTCAAGGTCAATTTTCACCTGCCATGGGCCACCAGCCACATTGGGCTTTGCAGGAGACTTGTGTTTGTCCGTGATTCCAAAATATCTTGGAGGGCTGCACTCAGTGTCACAGCTGCTCCTGTGCCTGAAACCCTGAGCAGCTGCGGGGTTTTCTTTGGTGGGTGTGAGACACCCCTGTGGGTCTGCAGCCTCAGCTCGGGGGCTCCGGGCTCACTCCCCAAAGCACCGTGACCGCTGTTTGTCATTCCAGCGGCGCTGGAGTTTCCAAAATTTGTCCCCAAGGTGGACGTGGTGGCTGACTGCAGTGCAGCCAAGGTAGGTGGGGGTGTCCACGCAGCCCCGGGGAGCCCCCCTGCCGCGGCGGTGCAGGCGCCAGCAACGCCCTTTGCTTTGCAGAGCGCGGTGGGCGCCGGGCACCAGACGCTGCGCATCGCCCAGGCCCTGCGGCGCTGCCGGGAGCTGCTGGCGAGGGGTCTCCACTGGGTGATGTGAGTGCCGGGGCCACCGCGGTCACGGGCAGTGTGGGGGTGACCTGTCCCTTCCCAGCACCGAGAGATTGGTGTGTCAAGAGTTAAACCGCTCGGGGTTTTCCAGCTTCTTCCAGACAGCGCAGGACCGCTGGGTCTGGTGGGATGTGGTCATGGGGTACTGGGAGGGAGCGCAGCGCGATGGCCAGCGTGTCCCCAGTACAGGGGACACGTGTGCCAGGCTGCGGGGGGGCTGGACCCATAGGAAAATACCACTCCACGTTGTGAGGATGCTCCTGTCCCCGTTTGTAACTTCTGAGTCACTTTTTTCAGTTTAGGAGATGCTGAGGAAAAAGCATTACTATTATTATTATTAATAATAATAATAACAACAACAACAACAATAATAATAACAATAACAATAATAATAATAATAATAATATCATCATTGTGCATTTTCACTGTCCTACCCCTTTCTTTCGGGGCAGCAGCTTCTCGTGCAGTGGCAGGACAATGCCCAGCGGGTCAGAGCCCCCATGCCCGGGAGCTGCACCCAGTGTTACGTGCATCCAGCCCCTCATTTTCTCTCGAGCAGCCAGAGAGGAGCCACCAGCTCCATCCTATCACCCCACCGTGCACAGCAGACGCAGGGATGGAGGTGGGGCTGGCGGGGAGCACGTGTTGGATGAGCGATTGTCTCTCTTGGCAGTGGGAACCTGAAAACGGAGTGCTTGAGGATTTTGGAGCAGAGGAGAGGGGCTCTTTCGGTGCTCGCCTGCCTGCAGCTGACTGAGGTGAAGACCTGTGTGCTGTAAGTGTGGCTTTGCAGCCGCGGGGATGCAGGGATTGGGCTGCCTTGAGGCTGCTGCAGATAAGATACTGGACTCTCAAAGGTGCCTGAGTAATCAGAAATAAGTAAAATTCCAGGAATGAGCTGGTAGCTGGAAGGTAAGAGGTGTTTTCAGTGTAAGTGGAGGCTGCTGGAAATGAGCTACTCTGGCTGTTTCTTCCTCTTTGCTGCAGTTTTTAATGATCAGTCCCTGGTTTCACACAAGCTCAGAATTCGTCCTTGCTCCCTGGCTCCTGCTCCAGGGTTTTCAGACCGTTACAGCCCGCGAACCGCAGAGTAAGGGCCAGAAGGAGACAGAGCTGCTGCTGCCAGCTCGTGGGAAAGGGAAAAGAGCCACTGCTGCCAGCAGAGTTAAAATAACGGGCAGGGTGGCACCGGCTGCCAGGTCCTCTCTGGGGTCTGGCCACCATCGCCGGCCCCGCTCCCTGCAAACAGCCTTGGAGAGCCGAGGGCGGCCAGCAGCCCGTCCTGCTGCGCTCCCGACACCCCGCCCGACCCCACCGCCCGTGAGGAGATCCCTCTCGTTGCCGTTCAAGAGGCTCCACTAACGGAGCAGTCGTCGGAGGCTGAATTACAGAGAAACCCTGGGCTGTCCTCGACAGAACCGATGTGCCCGTTCCCACCCGCTCTGCCCCGGGGAAAGCTGAACCATTTTATCTAAAGTAACCCACGGTTATTTCGCTCTTCTGTTTTGTTGTTGTGGTAGTGGAAACTTCAGTGCTGCTGGGTTGCTTTTCTTTTATTCTTTTCAGTTTAGCAAGTCTCTTGATTTCCATTTCATCCAAAAAGCTAGGGACACGTGGTTCCCATTGACTTTAGCCGGATTAGCGCGGGGCTGCAGTGCCAAGAGCACTAATGCTGCAGCTGGATGCTGCCGGCTGATCCATCCCTTCCAACACCGTCTGGCTCAGGAGCAGTGCTGCTGACTGAGCCAGCGGGCGCCGCTCAGCGCTGCACCCTCCTGCCAGCTGCAGGGAGGCAGCAAACATCTGAGCTGGCAGAAAGGCGGCGGATGCGAAGCTGACAATTTTGGAACAGATCGGGCACAACAGGGCGAGTTCTTACCGGATCAGCGCTTTGCCTCTTGTGGCTCAGCTCGGGCTCCCTGAACGCAGAGTTATTGCCCAAGCAAACCACCGCCCGGCTCCCCCCGGGGGGCTCTGACGCTGCCTCCACCGTGGGATGGATTTTCTGTGCCCAGGCTGCCTCTGGCTTATATTCTGCTTAAGGAATATTAAATTTCTGACTTTCTTCAGGTACGAGGCCGTTCCTGCAGGCAGCGGGGTGCCGGCTCTGAAGGAGGTGGCCGTGGTACAAGCCTACGGGGGGGGACCCCCCGCCGGCGGCTCCGTGCGGGGCTGGGGAGCACTGGGAGCAGCCGGCCCCGACCTCTCCTCCTCCTCCGCAGGTCTCTGAGGAGCTCTCCCAGTGCTCCCGCAACATCTTTGACTTCCAAGGGGCGCTGGACGGCATTTTGTCTGAACTGGTGAAGCACCGGCAGCAAGTGCATGAAGACAAGAGGTTCGTAGCGCCGGCTTCGCCGACGTCCCCGCCGGCTCTTTGCTGGTCTCAGCTCGGCTGAGCGGACGTCGCTGCAGCCGGGCACAGCCCCGCGCTGCAAACAGCTCTTAGCAGCCCCGTGCACGCCCGTGTCGCGTTGTGTGACACCCCTACGGACGGGCACGGGCAGCGGCAGGGTCCCCAGGGTACAGCGTGGCTGGGTTTCACCCCCAAAGTGCTAATGTCACCCCACCCTCGTACCCTTCCTCTTGCGGGGCCTCACGCCTCCTTCCCTGTCCTGATTTCAGCATCCGGCAGATCGAGTGCTGCCTGGAGAAGATGCAGCTGATCTACAGGCAGTTCAAGAAGGCCAGGACGTGTCTGCGTAAGTGACGGGGACCGTGGCCCCCGGGGGCACGAGGCGTGGGGCTACAGCAGGAACGTCCCTGCACCGGTCCAGTGCAAAAAGGAGTTATTTCAGTTTGCCGGATTTAGCAATTATTGCTGTGCCCTGGCAGCAGTCCCAGGGGCTGCAGCCCTGAAAAGCCCTTTGAGTGATCTCTGTGTGTTGTGAAATTGCCCGTTTATTGGGTTATGAACAGGAAAACGTGTGGTGACCAGTGTCTCTCCTCCCCAGGGCTGGGCTACAATGAGGAACAAATACACAAGCTGGATAAGTAAGTCCCAACCCTCTCTCCTTTCTAGGACCTGCCCCGTGCTGCGGCCAGGCAGGTGTTTGGTGTTTCTGATTGAATCCTAAGGGGATGTAAAATGTTCCTGGGTCACTAACGTTGAGGGAGGGCACCCAGAAGCGGTTTCTGCGATGGTTCATCGATGCAGGACCTTTCACAGCAAAGTTTTCGAGCTACAAGCTGTTTGAGATGTGAGAAAACCTCCACAGACCTGGGGACAGGGAGTCGCTGTTGGGCCAAATCCCCACGTTGGACTGCGGGGACAAGCACATTTCAGGCTGTTGCTCACACAGTGCTTTGGTTTTGGCCATTTATTTACTGAGATGCTGATTTAGGAAGTGTCCACGCTTTCGTACTTGCTTAACTTTCAGTGGGAGTAAAGTGTCTGATGGCTTTTGTACCTTTAAAAACCCTCCTTTCAGTTCCCATTGAAACCAGGGGAACTTAACATGGGCAAGAAATCAAATGCGCTCTTCAATATATAGCAGGGATGGCGAAATTTAACAGGCAGCTCCTTCATCTTAATTAATCTTCAGTCCAACCTTGGACATCTGCCTTAAACTCCAAGGCAAAGGCTTCTCAGAAGTGCCCCAGGGGTGGGGATGGCAGCCCAGCCGGGTGTCCCCACCTGGGTCCCCCTGGCTCCCGAAACCTCCCTCTCCATCATAATTGGGTTTTGTTTCCTCTACAATACTGATGTAAAATTCATCACTGAGCAGCCAGTCCCTCTTGCTCCATTCGGGAGCCAGATTTAGGTCTCCTGCCATGTAAACCGTGATGTTCGTTGTCATACATTCAAGGAAATGAGTGTTTCTCTCTTTTTTTTTTTTTCTTTTTAATCTGCTTTTAGGGTGAATTTAGGGCATCTGGCCAGGAAGGTTCTGCTGATTTTCCAGGACGACTGTGTCCAGCGGTACCAGGAGGCTCTGGCCCTCCACGGCAGCAGGATGAGGTACCAGCCCCTGCCCTGCCCTCTCCAGGGGTCTCGGGGCTCTGGCTTTCGGGCCCTGGTGGGGATGGGAGAGGGGACTTTCCAGTAACCCACCAACGACCAGGGCTTCCGAATGCTCTCTGCTATTGATCAAGCGTTGGGCTGAGGACGGAGATGCTGTTGTTGGCAACTGCTGCTGAGGGACTCATAAATAAGTCCTTAAAGCAGCAGCTCTGGGTGATGGCTAGAAATCCTGCTGTGGATGCTGGGTCTTACCCCACGACGCGTATTTCTGCCCTGTTGTTTGAAGATTTGGGGTTTTTTTTTTTAAAAAAAAAAGTGCCTCCTAAACTTGCAGCTTGGGTTCAGGCGGCTGGTTTCCTCGCTCTCTGTCAGGGAGAGCTTATTTTATCAGGACAAAATCGCTATTGAGACAAAGAGATCTGCTTATTAGGAATGATTTTCTGTTAAATGGCCGTTGGGGAATAATGCAAAGAGCAAATTACGCTGCAGTGATTGAGCACAATCCACCGCCTATCACAGCAGCAAAGAGCAGGGGCGAGGGGGAGGCAGTTAGGGGAAGAGGATGTTGCCGAAATTGGATTTTTATTGCAAGGTTGCTTTTAGAGAGGAGCATCCACTCCCCTGGGCTGCCAGCGGGGGGGGGGAAGGATTTTCAATAACACGTTAGAATTAAACCCGGCTTTTGACCTGGTCCCTATTTCTGATGTGGAGTAGCCCTACACAGGATTTACTAGGGGGAGGATTTTGGGGCTAGAAGTTTGTCTCAGGTGTTTTTTAGCAGTGTCTGCCTTGACCCTGTCCCTGTCCCTGCCTTGTCCCTGTCCCTGCCTGCTCCCCTTTCCAGCTCGTGCAGCCGGGGGTTTCCACGCTGCAAACCCTCGCCCACGGGCAGGTTTCACTTCGGGGACAGAAGCTGTTGCCCACAGTCGCCTCCCGCCACGTCCCACCACGGGGCAGCGAAATCTCCCCTTGGCTTCAGCGGGAATTTTGTCTCGGGGTGAGGTTCCTCTCCGGGTGTAGAGCCCCACGGAGCCCATGCAGCGCCAGAGCCCCGTCTGCACTAAAGCAGGGCTTTCACCTTTGCTCCAGGGCAGAAAAAAGGTTCTTTGTGTTTTTCTGGAGTATTTTTGCGTGTTTTTCTGTCCTTAAGGAGAAGGCATCATGAGTCACAGCTGGGTATTTTTAATTTATTGTTACTTCAGTTTTAATTGTCCTGTTTTGAATTTCTTCCTGCTAGCAGCCAGGGTTTGTGGTGTGGTGGCTGTTTTTCTGGGGACTGGAGGTGGACTGTTCACCTTAAATATTCCTTCCTTTTTTTTTTTTTTTTTTTTTAAGCCAAACCAAATCTTTTTTTATACAGCTCACAGTGTGCCTGTCGGGTGCACGGCGCCTCCGCCCTGGGGCCCCTCACCCTGGCAGGAACGGGGCAGTCGGTCCTCCGAAAAACCACGGGAGGATTTACCCCCGGGCCTGGGGCAGAGCAGGGAGGGGGCACTGGTGACACCGTCCTGCCCCAGCGGCAGAGCCCACCGAGAAGCAGCCTGCTTTGGGCTTTGGTGCCAATAGTGGCGCCTGCAGAGAGGTTGGCCCCAAGGACATGCTCGAGGGGGACCTTTTCTGGCCTTCCTATGCTTCCACTGCGAAAGGAGAGCGTGCAGAAAGAAATGCCAGACCAAGGAGCCTTTTTGAGCAGATACTCCGTCCTCCACGGGACACAGAGCAGAGAGTTTGTCTCTCAAACAAGCAACGCTTGCCCTAATTAATTTGCTATTAGTGTTGTTTGGCTAACCTGCCCTACGGTGCCTATTAGCAGAGCTGCAGCCATAATTACAGTGCTGTTGTGACTCATTTGCTTTCCTTCATGATTTTAACTTCGATCCAGAAAGCTTTGCAGAAAGCTGTACAGAATTAAAACGCACAAAAAAAATATCATGATCCACTCTGCTGCCAAACATTGATTGGGAATTTTGTCGTCGTTTCTCTTTCTAGGAAAGTTTGTGAGATAAAGAAGCATCTGAAGAGGCTCAGCAACCGCATCAGCGCCTGCAGCGTGGAGACGATGGAGTGCCAGGACTCCCTGCAGAGCGTAGGTGCCTGTGCAGGGTCCTGCCCGGGGATGCTGCTGCACAGCCTCTCCCTACTTCCAGATAACGCTGCTGCTCCCCTCTCCCAGCACCCACCGGGTGCCTGAGCACGTGTGTTAAGCAAGGAAACACCGGAGTGCTTTTCAACATCTTGCTGTCGTTCTTTGTGGGTGATCCACAGTGGAGATCTTGTTTTTCCCCCACTGCGTGAGCGAGGAATGGGTAAACCTTTGGCAGTGGCACCCCTGGTCCTGAGGACTGCCTGGCACAGGGGAATCCGTACCCAATGAACAGGAATTGCAGCGGTAGAGAAAGGATGCTTCACCTCCAGCATTCACGATGGACTCCCTGACCAGCTGTGGCACAGCCGCCTGGGAGATGCCCTGGTCCTTTGGTTGTTGTAGTTTGTCCTGAAGGAGCGGGTGTGCTGGCTGTGCCTACGGAGGCGTCCTTTCCCCCGCTGGTTTGCCCCGGGGCAGGCACGCCGCACTCGCAGGGCTGCAGGGAGGGCCCGGGCACTGCAGCACCCGGGGGTCAGACCACCGCAAGGACCCCGGGGGGCTGCCAAGTCTCTCCATCTCTGCAGGCTCTGGACAGGTTTCTCCAAACAGAGAAGCAGAGTTTGGCTCCGGTTCCCCCCACGCCTTCGCCCGTCCACCTGAGCCAGGAGATGGCTTTTCGGTGAGTCTTTTGGGAGAGGGTTTTGCGGACGGCCCAGCTCCCCGGGGAGGTGCAGGAGCTCGCGCTGCCCATCCTCTGCACGAGCAACGGGGCGAGCGCTGGGGCGAGGGCTCTGTGCCTGCAGGGCTGGGACAGGCTGTGTTCAGCCTCCCACCGCCGCACACGTCATGGCCCCGGCGGGTACGATCCTCACTCGGTGACCCGTGGGGTGTCCCTGCCAGCTCAGCCAGCCCTCAGTCAGCCCGTGGGGAGCAGGAGGCTGAGCAGCACGGGGGTAAGGGGCTGGTTGTGTCCCCGGCAGGATGCAGGAGCTCCTGGAGCAGATGAGGTCAGTAACTTGTGATCTCCAGTTCAACAACAGCATCATCGAGCGGTGAGTAAGAGCACCCAGAGACGCTGCTCCGAGCAGCGATTCCTGCCCCTGACACCAGGACGTGGCTGCGCCGCCCTGGAATGGGGTGGTGGGTCTGGGCAGGCTCCCTGGGAGTCTGTGAGTGAGCTCCGGTGCAGGGAGCTGCGCCTGGTGCCGAGCACAACCACAGCTACTCATGGGGTGGCTCGAGCATCGAGTTTACATCATGGTCTGGCAGCAGAAGAGAGTTCGTCTCTCTTGGAAGTTTAAGCATGATCTTCTGCAAATGCTATGTCATGCCTACACCCTCTTTCCAGCCTTTTTCCTGTGCTGCTCAGCAGAGTCAGCTGCTGGCTGCCACGGAGAAGGGGATGCTTTCCATTTCTGGACGAAACTCTGTGCAAAACCCAGCACCCTACTGCTGACAAACCCCCCTGGGTTTCTTCCTCTGCAACCTTTTTTGCAGATCTTCGTGCACATCAACAATATGAATATGCATATCAAAATGTCAAAAAGTTTCAGATCAGGTTTTAAAAGAAGGAAAGAAATCGGTGGTTCACCCCAGCCCTTTTTATAGGACTGGGGTGCACAGTTGCAGCATGTCCACTGTGAATAAGGGGATAAGGAAGGGTCTGGTACGCTTTCAGTACAGAGAGCCGATCCCAAGAGACACCAGAACAAGCCCAAAGATTAGTGCCCAGCTCAGTTGCAGTTTGGGACTGCATGAGCCCAGGTGACCCCTCTCTACCCTAAAGCCTTCGGTTTTGTTCCTGCAGGTTAAGCGGGGCTGCCCCCGCTCCCGGTGTTTGAGAGACGTGGTGAATTTGCGGCTGCTGAAGCAAACCGCTTTCCACAGCAGGGAACACTGACAGCACTTTGGGTCCAGAGGACGTTCGTGTTAGAGGAGCTCTACGTGTCCTACCTCTCCGCTCCAGCACTTTTGCACAGTTCACCAGCATTAGCTTTGAGTGGCTTGCAAGCCTCGAGCCTTTGAACCTTTGACCAGAAAATTGGGTTGGTTTTGTCTTTTTCCTTTTAAAAAGTGCTTGAAGGACTTCATGTTTTTTCTAGCTCCCCTGTATCACCATGTCAGACGATGAAGAGGAAGAGGCTAGACAGATAAATTATCTTTTGCCCTCTTACTCGTTCAGGGATGACTCCCACTTCTAATGTACTTCTGCTCCCTGAGGCTTCACGGAGCGGGGCAGGAGCCCAGGGCGGGAGGGAGGCTGTCCCTGCTGGACGAGAGACCAGATCCAGCCCAGGCCAGCCCCAGTGCTCTGCCCGGGAGGCGACAGCACAGGGAAGGTGGGAGCCGCAGACCCCTGCCCGCCGGCACTGCAGCCTCTCCTCCTGCTTCAGGGCTTCGCCTCCAGCCCGGCCCCGTGTTTGGGCTCTGGAGAGGGGAATGGGAAAGGGAAGCTGAGGGAGGCTTTTCTTTTGTGGTACGTTTCTATAAATGTAACTGAGTTCTGTGTTTATGCACGTGGGGGTGTGCGCCTTCTCCAAACAACCCTGCACTGAAGCTGCACCTCCAGCCACCGAACCTGGGGTGCTGCTGAACGCCAAGGCAGAATCTCAGACGAAAGGGCTTCCACGAGTCCTCTCTAGACACATGTCTGCGAGAGAAAGCAGGGATACTTCTTTTTCTTTTAGGTGAAAGATGAAAAGAAATCCTAAGCAGCCACCCTGGCCGTTAGCAGGCGGGGTGAAAGGATGCATTCATCTGCGGAGGTGACAGCAGCCGGGGTGGCAGAGCTGGGACGGGGACAGGAGGGACCCAAGCAGGTGCTCTGTGGGGCTGGCTGTGAGCGTTTGGAGCTGCCCTGGGAAGGACGTGCCCCATGCTCCGCTTCTGTTATGCTGCAGAGAAACAGGATGGAGGGGAACCACGTTACCCCCCACCTCACTGCCCCCCGGGAAGCGCACAGAAAGCTGCAGAAGGACCCCGATGCTCCGCGCTGGGGCTGCACCCAGCCCTTTGTTGGGGGTGGCTAATACGCTCTGAATTTCCTACTGTTTTTTGACCTTGGGTTTTACAAGGAGCCGTAATCCTCCAGTTATCGGCTGAGTCAGCTGCTCGGCAGCAGCAGCGTGTGGAGCAGCGATACGGGAAGGCTGAGGTCTCGGGAGCGTGAGCATTAGATGGTATCAAGGAGCTCTTTGTGGGAAGAGTCAGGCATGCCGCCTCTCCACCCACCTCTTCCCGCCTGTCCCCAGCGTGATTTATGGGTTGTCACCCAGATCCCACAACCCCCATCCCCCGGGCTGCAGCCAAAGCTGGGCAGGGTGACAGCTCCCATCCAGCCGGGCTCGGACACGGGTATTTCCACCTGGGAGGGTCCCGGCAGACCGATGGGCAGAATTGAGGCAGCACATCCCACCCCAGTGCAAAGACATGTAAATCCCTGCCCTGGTCTCCCTGGAGAGCCCCTGCCCCTGAACCCTCACCCTGGGACGGGGACTGGGCTGCTGAGGCTCACGGTGGCAGCGAGTGGCCAAAGGGAAGCACAAGTCCCGTTGCCCCTGCAGTCTGCAGGGTGGGAGGCTGCGCTGGCGGGAGGAACGAGTGTCCGGACTCATTCCTGTCCTCTCCGTAAATCCCCTCCCTCTGTGTTTGCCTGGTTACTGCCAGCGTGCAAACAGGGACTGGCTTTAACTGGGGTTAAAGGAGGTTGGAGCAGGGAGAGGGCAGCAGGGACTCGCTGCACCTCCCAGGGACCGACTGTGCATCTGGAAGGAGCAGTTGAGCCATCAGCTGGGCGAGCAAACGCGTCTGACTCAACAGCAGCAGGGATGCTCGGTGTGCCTGCCCGGACCCGTCCCTTGGCAGAAAATGAAACACCCGACTCTGCCCTTCACCTTTCCTCCAGCTCCTTTTCCAGCCTCTCTTCTGGAGGTGACACACATTAGCTAAACCAAAAGACTTCGGCAGAGTCTGGGCCCGCTGTGGCTGTTCTGGCTGCCTGGAGGTCATTCCCCAGCCCCTGGGAAGCCAGGACTCAGGTTATCTGCCTGTGCCCAAAGGCAGAGGTGCAGCAAGGACAGGGCAAGGGGGGGCCCTGCCACGGCTGCTCCTGGCATTGACCACGGCAGCAAATATTTCCAACCTCTGTCGGGAGATATACAGGGACATAAGGCAAAATAGCGCATCCCTGGAGCTGAACGTCTTGCTGCAGCGCCGCCCCAAGTCTCAGCAAGGGAGAGAAATGAGCAAGGAGCGGCAGCTCCAGGGCTGTGCCAGGCTTTCCTTCCTTCTAAGAACAGGCCAAGTGTGCCCAGGAGCTCCCGCCGCCCAGGAAACCCTCCTGAGTGAATTTGGCACCGAAGGTTCCCAATCATTTTAATTGTGAAAACCAACATCCTGACTGTCAAACCCAACTACTCACTGTGGAAGAAAACCATCACTTAAAAGCTTTTCTCCTGCAAATTGTTTTCTAGGATTCTCCTAGTTTTATAACAAACATTATTTTTAATGCAGCTCGAGTTCACTGACGTCCCCTGTAGGAACAGGGCAGGGAGCCCAGGCAGAGTCTGCTGCTGCTCTTCCTCGGATTCAGTGGAGCTGCGCTGATTTGTACCAGCTGAGCGTTTGACCTGGAACATGTTTGGCTTCAACAAAAAGGGATTTATTTCTTGGCAAAAAGAAAAAAGAATTTTTGCTAATAGCCCTTGTCATGCTTAAACTGCCATAACACAGCAGCTGCAAAGGGGACTCCCGGAATCCAAATGAAACAGGAATTTTCCTCCCACTGTTAATTAGGTTGTTTTGTTTTTTGTTTTTTGTTTTTTTCCCAAAACATTTTAACCCTTGGCCTAAAAGAACTTCCTATGGTATCGACCTGAACACCTGCAGATGCCGCTGGGAAGGGTAACGACCCTGCCACATCTCTTGTGCAGGTATGAGCCAAAGCTTCCTATGTTGACAGAAGCTACTGCATTTATTGGGCACAGCCACACCAGCTGCCAGCAAGAAGGGCCCAAAGCGTGTGACCCGTGGGCAGAGGGTCCTCCGGCATCGAGCAGGACATTCCCTGGGGCTGTCGGCCTCTGTGGGAGCATCATCTCCCAGGGGAAGCTGCCTGCAAGCTGCAGGCAGGCTGTGCATGCACCCCCGCTGCAGCCACTCGGCTCCCGGCCACCGGGGATTTCCTCGGGGGTGAAGGAAACCAAAGCCCTCGGAGTGGTGGGGGATCCGCTCCTGCCTCCTGCACCCTGATGCTGCAAAACTAAGGGTGGAACTGTGCCCCGGGGTGGCACTGGAAAAGCGAACATCCAGAGTGGTTTTAGCAGGTTCCCAGCCAGGTACCAGGTAGATCTTTGCCCTCAGAAAGGTCGTTCGCTTTCTTGCAGGTGATTCCTTATACGATTAATGGTCTGGGGACAACACAGGATAACAGACCAAGGTTTTGGGAAAAAAATTTACTCAGGAATAAACATGCTGCTGTTCTCAGGCAGAGGCAGAGGGCGCGTGAAAGTGAATCAGGAACCTGAATGGGGAAGAAAAAGACTTTCCAAAAATTAATCTTGCTACTTAGCACAGAACAAAACTAGGATTTTTCAAGCTGTGTTATTGCTCCTTTAGTTTGAAGCTCTTATTAGTGACTGCTTATGGCACTAGTCTTTTGTAACTCAGAGCCAGTGTTTTAATCCATCCTTCAAATTAAAATCCTTGAAAAGGATTTAGAAATCCTTGGCTTAGCCTGTCCTCAGGAATTCATGAGAGATGTCAGATTCAGCCTCCCCTGAGCCCAGAAGCCAGGATGCACCCAGCCCAGCACCGCGCTCGCTGCAGCCACCTCCTCACCCGGCTGCTCTCGCACAAACCAAAAGACGTTCAGGGGCGGTTCTGTCCCAGTTACGTGTTTCAAACCAGAGCAGCAGAGAAGGGTTGGTCTGGGTTAAACCTCTAGCCCCCAGCCTGGGCAGTGCGAGGCCAGTCATGCCCTGTGTGCCTTGGGGTGACCGTATCCCCCTCCTTGTGCGCTGGGCTCCATCAGGACACAGGGGAAAAGGGCGGTAGCTCATTTCACGCCTCTTCCAGCCAGCGGGGAAGGCGTTATGGTGATGGGGGACCTTCGCATCGTGGGCGATGTCCAGCCCTTGTGTTTGAAGGAGAAGGGAGTTGCTTAGCAATCAGAGTGGCAGAGGACCATGCAAGCTCCTGGGCCCAGCCATCCCCCATTCGTGCACCCCCAAAAGCCGCCTTGGAGAGGTTTGCAAGCCAGCTAGCCAGGCACGGGTGTCCTCGGCGCTGCAGCGCTGGAGCCTGCTCAGAGCCACTTCAAAATTTGGCCATCATATTTTCCCTTTCGCATTTCCCACAACCGCAAGAGCCTCCTCTGGGGGAGATAATTGCCTCGGCTCACCGCCCTGAGCGTCGCTCCGGAGCCCTGCTGTCACCGCCGTGGCGAAAGGTAATTCGTTCCAGCTGCCCTTACAGCCTGGTCCACGCACACGCCTTGGGCCAGGAGGGGCTTTGCACCAGCTTGTTTTCGTGTAGTGCCCCACGCGTGACCCGGCAGCTCCCGTGGGGGCGGGATGCTGCT